TCCTGAAGTTTTGAACAACCAATCATATACTAAAGCATCTGATATTTATTCATTTGGTATAATCATGTGGGAACTTTTATATTAAAAACCAGTATCTTATAATCAAAAATTTGCCATGTCACAACTTGGTTTTTCAGTGTGTTGACATGATTTAAAATTTGTTGTTGACGAAGAAGCATCACAATGTTACGTAAACCTTACGAGAAAATGTTGGAATAAATATCCAAAGAAACGTCCATCAGCAAAAGTTCTCTGTGAAATTTTTGAGAAATGCAAAGTGATGAAAGTGTTTTGTTAGAACTAGATAAGTCCAAAATAATACTTGAGAATATCAAAGAATCGTACTATGAAAATATGTTAAAAGGTGGAAGCAAGTTCATCAACACGCATGAAATTATTGAAATGACCTTACTTAGCCAAGAAATTGAACTTCTAGACGTTACTGATGACCTTTGGGGGTTTTTTTAAAAAAAAGATTTTATTTACGCAATTTTTTCATAAAAAATGTTTGTATACAATATAATCAAGTACTTAAACTAATCATTTTCATTTAATTTGTATTAAATTAGTCTACTGTATAATAAGATTATTTTATTATGTGAGTATTAGTGATCAACTAAAATATTCTATTCATGCTCATAGATATTTACTGTAGAGGTTACTAATTTCTCTCCCACTTCTGATTGGTTCTACTAATTATTCACATATCGAAGTACTTGTGTTATTAATCTATTTTATAGTACTCCGATAGTGAGGTGGGGGAGAAATTATTAAACTTTTTACTGTAAAGGTGGAAACAACAATTATACGACAGAAAGTTTCTTTTGCCAGAGTTAATGTCACTCGTACAGTAGCAGCACATGGAAATGACATTAACTTCATTGAAAACAATGGAAATCGATATGTTTCTTCATTTAACAATATTGTACACTTGACGAATATATCACATACAGATGATACTAAAAATCAGTGTAAATAAATGTCACATTGATTGATTTGATATATATGAAAAAGTAATCAGTTGAAGGGCTGTTAGACGCAAATTCATCATGTGATTTTATCTAGCAGTCAAGTTTATAATTAACCCTTTTTTTTTAGGGTTTCGTTCCTGATTTACACGATAACGTCTCGCGCTATCTAGTTTAATTTGAAAAAAATTCTTTATTGTGTTACAAATGGAGAGTTTCACATTATGATTTTATCAATTAATTTATAAAGAGTGCAATGCAATTTGGAAAATATATAGATCGCTAAATTGATATGAATAAATTGAATCTAATGAATAATTTAAGAGTACAATGACTATTAAACATTGCACATGTTGGTGATTTGTCACCCCGTCCAAACTAATAATTGGATATGACGAGCAGCGAAATACTAATTATTGTCAGGGATGATGTTGAAACAAGATGATGCTGAAACATTGACTTATTTTATTATGAAATTTTAAATTTTTGGGGATGTTTTTTTAGCTTTTTTTTTGTAGTTAAGTTAGGGTTTAGGGCTAGTATTTATAATTAAAAGTATAGGTGGATTTTAGTAGGGTTTATATTTCTAAATTGAGACCCCCACGTTTCAGCATCATCTTGTTTCAGCATCATCCCCGACAATTATTAATAATGAAATATTCTTATCTAAATCAATTCATATGTCTCGTAAAAAATCAAAAAGAAGCACAAAATATTTCGTAAATCTAGATAAGAGACTAACTAAAAAAGCTAAAAAGAAGTTTCATAGTATGATCTAACGTACATACTGCATACAGTAAAGTATGTACATAATAATAATTATTGTATCTTATACGTATTCAAAATAAGTCAACCAATTATGGTAAAATTCTAAATAGGTTCGGTAATCTGAATTTTTTTTGGAAATGGTCAATAAATTGATTATTATTTAATCAGCTCAGAAAATCGATCATCGATTGTGGTTTTTAGAATCGATTCTCATCCCTATTTATGAACTCTTGCTATGTTTCATTTCAGGTCGTAATTATTTAGTGAATTTTAAATTCTTTAGAATGGTAATTTTTATAGTGAGAGAGCAAGTAATAGTTATATCTTGGCAATTGGATATAAGAAAAATACTGTGTATTTGATGTGTCGGCAGCTCAAGCAACCGATACTTTTTATTAAAATATTTTAGTAAAATATTTATGACACTGATGTGCACTGATCGTACACTGATCGTACCTGGGTTTACTAATTTTCCCACCAATTCACTATTGGAGTATTATAAAATTGATTAATAAGGTAGATACTCCGATATGTGAATAATTAGTAGAAGTGGTAGGAAAAATTAGTAAACCCATCGTGCCTTACGTAAATAAGTTAGTCGTAGCTAGGTATGGATTTAAATCATTATCGTTATATCATCTGTCGTGCCTAAAGTTGGCACCTGATTAAAGTTGGGCCTGAAATTGCACATGACTGAAATTAGCCCCTGAAATTAGATCATCTTGCACGCACTTAGTATTATTACAGTATTAGTAGGTTAGTGATGTCTACCATTTTGTATAACCCGAGCTTCCGGACCTCGATCGGCTGGTTCAGATTTTAGTGATGTCCAACAAATTTTACCATTTCGTATAACCCGAGCTTCCAGACCTCGATCGGCTGGCTCAGATTTGGACTTCGGATTGGACCTACGAAGTGCTAATACAAGCATAATGCAAGCTAGCTAATATTATGCAAAATTACGATCTAGCGGGTTTATTAGTAAAATTCGCTAAAATTTGGTAATTTTCGGGCATAATTAATTGGGTCCGGAGGCCGGGTTACACGAAATGGTAAAATTTTTTGACCTACTAGCATTTACGTACTAGTTAGATGTTTTAGGGGGGCCGCTAAAGCCTTGTACCCACGTGACTTTTTCTATGTAGATCACCAATCAAAATCTACAGGAGCGACCGTCGGTGTTACACGACTTCACCCGGTGTGCAACATATAAAAAAACTATTTTACAATACCAGATCATCCCGACAGGACATGTTATGATTATAATCCCACACCATTTGAATAATAAAAAATGGTGTGGGATTATAATCATAACATGTACTGTCGGAATGATCTGGTATTGTAAAATAGTTTTTTTTATATGTTGCACACCGGGTGAAGGATCAGTCGTGTAACATCAATGGTCGCTCCTGTAATCAAAATCATGAAATTTTGTTTACGCGGATCAGCCCGAAGAAATCATCTTTAAACATTATATTAGTTCAGTATAGAAGGTGCGGTAGGTATTTAAAAAATATTTTTGTTAAAGTGAAAAGCGATAAAGTTTACTATAATGTAATTCGATTAGTTAGTTGCACATGATGTATGAACGGCCAATAATAACTTATTCAATTAAGGAAAGTTTTTTTTTTTTTTTTTTTTGAATCTTAAGGTGAGGCCATGCCTAATTACGGAAAGTTATCCTACTAACAATTATCCTAAAATTATAATTTTATTAAGAAATACCCCATTTAAATCCCGTTCCCACTTACAACATATATATATATATTTTCAAACTTTAAGCGAAGATTTCTCAATATTAGCCTAGACTTTTCGATGTTTAGAATAATTTTTGAATTCTATTAGCTCGTATAATTTGAAAATAACTTCAAATATCAAAATGTACAAAACATTATTTTGATACTTTCGCTCAGGTTTAGTAAAGATTTAAGTGAATAAACTAAATCTTTTATATAGTTATAAAATATTAATGAATGTTACACTATCGTAAAAAATTAGCATTTTATTTTAAGTAGCAATTTGTAAAATCAACATTAAATTTAAAGAAGTTTTGCAGATTTTTGCGTTATGTGTGGTCACAACAATTTGAAAAGTATAATAATTCGTATATTTTATTGTAATTTATTGTAATTTGAATTCTTACAATTTCAAAAAGTGGTTTAAAAAAAATAAAAATAAAATAAAATAAAATTTAAAATAAAAAAATAATTTAAACAAATAAATAAAATAAAATGTCTTTGCCTTGAAAATCACCATCCGACATTTCCGATCGGGTTAATTCGGACAAAAATAACCCGAGTATTGGTTCATGCTCATATGCTAATCATCTTTTAACTTTATTGATTCAATAGTTTATTGAATAACTATTGAATCAACAAAAGTAAAAGATGATTAACATATAAATATCAACCAGTACTCGGGTTTATTTTTGTCCGAATTAACCCGATCGGAAATGTCGGATGGTGATTTTCAAGGCAAAGACCCCAAATAAGAAAAAAAATGAGAAAAACAGAATTCCTATACTATTTAATGTAATTTCAGGGTGCTTTTATCTGATTTTTTTTTTATGTAGTAAAAAAGCAATCTGACATTATTCAATTTTTATTTATTTAATTCGAAAACAAGTCTAAGATTCCTATCGCTATTTAGCTATACCAATAATCAGTATCTGTGTATTGCCAAGTGCAGGATCAGGAAAACGGGAATAAAAGAAAAATTTTGAAAATTTTATTTATAGGCAAGAAATTTAGTGTGAAAACCGAAGAAATTCTTTTCATTTTTAGAATTTTTTATATTTATATTAACATTTAAAGGATCATCTCATCTCGCTATTTAATGACGGGCTTAACATACCAGTTTTTTTACTTAAAATCTAATAACAGACTTTTTAATTTTTAATTACATATCATTTTTTGCCCTAGAGATGTTGGGAAAGATCATAGTACGTGTGTCATATAATAATATCATATAATATATGGTACGTATGTCATATAATAATATCATATAATATATGTATCTAGTAAAATGATTATGAAATTATCATTGTCTAACAGTAGAATATTATTTCAAATGAATGTTTAGTATTATGATTAATTAAATTTTATTCAATTTATTAATTGTAATTTATCTATAAAGAGGTTAAAACTACAAATTTTAAATTATTCAAACCAGTTTAAAATCAAATATAATAATAAACTATCTGAACTAATACGGTTTAAATTGCAAAAAATTTAACCGATTTAATAATTCTAGTTCCCCTTAAATTTATTGAGGTGTTGTGTTAAATGAATTATGCATATCGGCCTCATTACATGTCCAAGTATCGTCTCTTGTGCCGAATGAATCGGTATCACAATTATACCAATTACTTGAGTCATAATCTCCAATACACCCTGCCACTGTATCAAACCAATACCCACTGTCCATTGCTTTAGAAATTTCAAAAGGTGCCAATTGTTCACATGTAGATTGAATTCTATCATGATTTAACACAATATGGGGTTGTTGATCACTAATCGCTTTACTGAAATTTTCTTCACATTGTTGTTCAGTGATTCCGCTAATAGAATCCTGAACATCCACATCCCATATTACCATTTTATCCATTCCGTTTGCTTTCATAGCAGATCTTACATTTGTATTATTAACGCCATTACCGTATGGAGGTCGGAAATATTTTGGAGTACAGCCGATAATTTTCTTAAATGCTTCATTCAAGAAAGTTATTTGGTAGTTTACTTCATCAGCACTGCAACCTGTCAAGTATGGGTGAGACCACGTGTGATGGGCGATTAAGTGGCCTGAATAGTAAGCTCTTTGTATAATGTCTGCATAATCGTAGATACAACTATCATATTGATTGTGACCATTAATAAAGAAAGTAGCTTTTATGCCATATTCATCCAGTTTATCAAGCAATTCATTCGTCCACTAAAAAGAAATTAAATTAAATACTCGAATTTTTGAAACTAGGATTTTTTTTTTAAATTATAAAATGCATACAGAACGTGGTCCATCATCAAAAGTTAACGCTAGAATATTAGGATTTTGGCAAGTGGTGATAACTTGTATGCCATCCTCACCAATATTAGTATTATTGTTAACTGCAAGGCCACAGACACCATAACCTTCTTGACATCCATCACCACAGTGGTCTATTAAGAAAGAAGTTAATTTAAGCTTAATAAAAAGAAATTTATTTAGACAAAATTTAATAATTAAGAAAAACATACCAGTTGTAGTACCGCAATAACCCCATTTAGAACAGCAAGTACTGCCACTAAAAAAAAAAAAAAAAACAAAAAAGATCGTTTAGGTTTGAAATAAAAATGCTTTGATTATTAACAAGAGTATATTGTACCATTTATTGTTCACGTCAGGACCGCATTTAGCATTCGATGAAACATCTTGTTGACTCGAGGTATTTATGAGACATAAAAATGTTAGGATTAAAATCAAGTAATTAATTTTATACATTTTAAGAATGAATGAAATGGTATTCCGAGAAGTGATTTTCTCAGAAATTGATTAAATGAATGTATATTATGTAAAAAGATGAAAAAAAAAACATGGCTCAAAATCGGATGAAAGGTGCAATATATAGTTTCGTAATTGTTCATAATTGTTCATATTATCGAGTAAAAAAATCCGAATAACCTCTTAGTTTCTCTTTCTTTACGGTTGTACAAGTAATAGTCACACCAAATAAATTATGTTTAGATACAAATAAATTATGATCGATAAAATTAAACCTTTCAATGGTAAATAAAACATTAATGCATTCTTTTGTAATCCAAAACATGCATTTCGTAGAATTTTACTAAATATGAATTTAGTCGGTAATACTGTACTTGCAAACATAAAGATAGAACTCCAAATAATCTACTAAATATTCGGATAAATTTTTGTTATAAAATACATTCACCATCAAAGCACGAAATAATACTCATCTGTCCGTTAATTAATTAATATCAGTCGTTGCTTATGGAAGACTGCACTGCTGAAATTCACTGAAAGTCGCTGAAAAGTTAAAGTTAATAGTATGTACATTGGAACACTTAAAAAATTCTACTCAATCTCATTGGAATAATTAACCTGCAAAGTAATATAATTAAGCACCTATAGCAATTAACAAAGTTGTACACGGAATTAAGGTTTAACAAAATGTCAATAGTAGTGATATAGGCGGAAATTTCCAATAACCAACATGCAGCAAGATACGGTACGGAATTCAAATGCTGTATTAATTCAACAATATCATAACAATATTCAAATTAATATAATATATTTGGGGTACCGATCGTTCATCAGTGTAATTAATCAATGCCACAATTAATGGAAAAACGAAAACTATTTTTATTGTTATAGAAATTATATAAGTGGTCGAATACTTTTGTTATTTATGTGTTTGTACAGATATAGATACGGTATATTCGATTTTATATCCGACTTTAAATCGAATCCGAAGTAAATTGGATTTACGTACGTACGTGCGTACGTACGTACGTACAACTATTTCCACAAATTCTGAAACACCTTGCCGATGATAATTTGAATTCGATAAGTTCATTAAAAAAATGGGCTGGCTAGTTAAAAATAGCTAGCCAATCCAATTTTTGATCAGACTGTGTAACATTTTCTTGTCAGCTGATATGCATTGATTTCGGTGTTCTTCGGTGGTACACAACATTTATGATATACGTCGTGTAACATAGTCTAGCATTTGCGCATGACTGAAATTAGCTCCTGAAATTAGATCTTCATGTATGCGTTAGTTACTTTTTTTCAAGCAGTGCTAACTACCACTACGAAATTATGCACGAAATTAATTATCGAAAAAAATGAAAAAAATTTTGAACACAATTATAAGGGAAGGTATATGGAAAGTATGTAAAAAAAAAAAAAAAAATACATCACTACATGTAAAAGTATACAGTGTTTCTTGATTTAAACGTGCTGTTCAGTGCACTGTACAGTATATGTTTATGTGCAATTTAGTTTTGTCCCGTACTTAAAATTCTGTGCAAACGTGCACTGATTTCTTATAGGCCCGAAGAACACCGAAATAAATAATCTATCGAATTCAGCCGAAATTATTATCGACAAATTTGTTTAGATGTTCCAAACTTTATGAAAACAGTCAAATCCAGTTACAAATTCTTTACGTATGTACGTACGTACGTAATTAAGATGTAAATAATCACATGTAATAAAATGCTAATAAAAAAATTAGACTTTTTTTTTTGTTTTTTTTTACTGAATTAGTTCTGGTAATGTGAAATTTCAAAAAATTTATTGTACAACAACAATAAAAACCATTTAAATTACGGCAAGTTACGGCATATAAAATTGTGTTAACAGTATATACAAATGTTATAAAATAAACAGCTGTATTAGTCTATACACAAGGTATAACTGGTTATAACTCAGTTGCGTATAGCTTATCCCGATCTTTGGGTCAATAGCAAAATAGCTAAATTTTTGATCAAGACAACCTTTTTTAGCACTGTTATAAATAGATTAGTGTTTATCGTTATAGAACTTTGGAACTTTCGATCAAACTTTGACCGTTTATTTGTTATATTCTTAGATATTTGTAATATTATTTTTATTACACAATTACACCACAATTTCCTGAATACATTTATTTGAGATTGTCGATCATTAAAGTTAAAGTCGAACTAATTGGAAGATCGTGCGCAATATAAATAGTTGCACAATTCAAATATTATTCGTGCCTTCGCTGTTTTATATTCCATGGTTGAAATGTGGTGATTTTAGACTTATATTTGGACATGCGATTAATTTTTAATTTTGAAAGTAATAAACAGTAATAAATACACAACTCTGATTAGCTAGTGATTTTAATAGTGCACAATTATTACAGTATTATATTTATATTGAATATGCAAACAATGATGCAACCAAAGTTTTCTCGAGCGTCATTTTCGATGCGATTAACTCATTAATCGAAATCGAAATTTGAGCGATTCATCGCTACTATGTTTGGTTTTCATTGATATTCGATTATTGTACCAAATGAAGAAATTATCGGTGAAATAATTGAATTTGCTGTCATATGAATAAATTTAAAAGATATACTGATATTTTTATTTTTCATCAAAATTGTTAGTATAAAATAATAATTCGTTGATGCTGAGAATTGGATTCATGACAAAGTTACTTGCGTGATCTATTTTGAATATTCAATTAAAGGTAAATTTTGAATATTCAATTAAAGGTAAATTTTGAATATTCAATTAAAGGTAAATTTTGAATATTCAATTAAAGGTAAAT